AGAAGCTGCCTCGGGGGAGGCAGTGAAGGTCTTCCCTCATCCGACTCTCTCCAGGGGAATCTCTAATCACTGCTTCCCATAGTAACCTCCCTTTACCATATCCTCGGGGTTTATAGTAGATCCCAGAGGCTTGCTTGAAAAGGTTGTTGTTTCATACCTTTTGACTTAACTTTACTCTAGTAGTAACTAAACCTGCTATAGTAGTCTAAAATCTAATGTCTTTAGAAAATCTTTTGTCATGTAGTAGCTTGCTCCAGTCCCAAAAAGGTAATTCAAAAAAATGCTTGACTCATGATGATTCCACAATAGAGAAGACTGCATCTGGATACCTTAAGGTACATACAACAACAAGAAAAAATGTTGGAAAAGGAGAAACTCCGGGTAAATATGAAGTGCATGGATACAAATTAAGCCTTGGAGTGAATGATAATTTCGAGTTCAATGTTTTCTATGATCAAGGAAGCTATAAGTAATACAACTATAAATCTTAAGAAGAGTTCAATTCTGGCTCAGGATGAATGCTAGCTAAAGTGTATAACAATAGTTCATAAGGACCGAAATTGTATAATCATTTATCAACGGATACTACTTCCTAGATTGGGTTAAAGTGCCAACGACGTTACACCATTGGAATACTTCGATAAGCTGGAGTACATATAGGATACACTGGTGCTAAAACCTATACTCAAGATATCTTTCAATATGGTGAGATGTTGATCCAGATGTTCTCCTGATGCAAAATCAATCGATTCCATAGTTTTAGAATTTTAACTGATTCCAAGTACTCCATCTCCAGCATTGCATATGGTAATATAGAAAGTAAGGAGTAAAATGCATGATCAGAAGAATTGTGTGCATTAAGTGAATTGTATAAGGGTAAAGAATTTTGTTTTTAGCATTCACTTCCATTGTAAGGGAAGTAGTACTTCCTCATTTACTGTTTTCAGCATTTTCACATGTAACCACAGTATTCCTCCACCACAAGTGAGTGCATATTAATAAAATCTCGGAGGTAGCACCCTCCTTTAACCAAAAAAAATGTGGATTTGATTAAAAAGAAAAGTTTCCTTCCAGATAACTTAACTCCATCAAGCTTGTACGAGTTGTGAAAAGTATAGAGAACTTTTGTTGGTGATTTTACAACAGAAAGCAATGTAGAAAGCAAAATTCAATCACTAATTTCTTTGTTGAATGTTTGAGGTTCCATCTTTCTTAAGGATTTTAGTCTTGCCCAGGCTCGATAACTGGTAAGCTAGATCTCTTTCAACTCTTTTGATCAGGTTCTGTAGTCCAAATAAGCACTCTTATCTCTAGTTTCCGTCCTCCCTAAGGTCTTTCAAAGCAGTGGATTGAATTAGGCACGTCCTCGATTTACTCTTTCTTTTATAAGGATACTCATTCGACGAGCATTTTTTTTGTTTTTGGGATTGGATGTGGCATTTATTTGATTCAATTTCATTGGCATTTCTAGAAAGAGCCTAGAAAGAACGAATTCAGATTCAATTTTGTGCCACTAAGTCTTTGCCTTTTGGTCATGTTTCATTCTAGGACATAGAGGTATTAGTTCCGGTTTTTTTTTTTTTTTGGGTACAATAGACCTTTCAAGGTGTGGAAGTGTGTTGAATCAAGAGAAAATAGTAAACATCTTTATTATGGATTCTTTATTTAACCTCTACTAATGAAGCTCGAGTCAACACAATAGGCATTGTAATGCGAACAGTCATACTTGGAGAAATAGATGGAAAATGTATCACGTGTAAAATCTAGAACTTGTGACGCATCTATTTTTGCAGAGGTTCAGGACTACTCAAGATATCATCTCACCACCTTAATAATTGTTCCTATCTAATGGAATGCTATTTGTTCAAATGACAAAGATATTTTTGAGAAAAAAGATGGCTTTTGCCAGATGAAATGAGAATTAGATTCATGTAATTGGAGAAAGATTTTCCATTCCTTGGTCATAAAGATACGTGGCAATGAAAGAGAAAGAGGGACCAAGTAGAACAGAAATTGATTGAATGGTAGAGTTGTGAAAACGCTTATTTCTTTCATATTTTGGATTGACAAATTCTATATTCTCAAATGACCCATGTTTGGAAGAGCTATGCAATCTATGGCCATATTAATGTTATGCATCTACTACTTGAAAATAAAAATAAAATAAAATAAAAACTCTCTTTTCTCCTAGGTTTCCTTTTCCCTCCTCGAATCTCTCAATCAGAAAAACAAGGCGCAATGTGCTCTTCGCTCCTAGTCACTAAGTAGTGCTATTAGGGGACTGGACTTCACTAAGAGGTTTTTTTCTCATGTAATTTGCCTGCTTCTTTCATTTTAGTGTCGGAGGAAATGGGATTCGAACCCATGATACAAGCTTCTTGTATGTTGATTTAACAAACCAATTACTTGAGCCATGATTTTCCTTCGTTTATCTTATTTTCTATTTCTTCTTCTTCTTGGGCCTTCTACCAAAAGTGTTAAGACGATGGAAATGTCATCAATACAGAATAAAAGCATAACTATTAGATAGACCCGTACATATATTTCCAAGTCAAGGTCTTTGAATTGAGGAGTCTCCTATCTCATCATAAATCGGTGAAGTGGGGTGAGCCTCTTGGATGAGTTTGCAAGTAAGCCGGCTCATCATAAATTAGTGAAAATGCAATTTTTAGTTAAAATAATCACGGCTCGCCGCATTAAGGAAAAGTTGGTAGAGTAAATCGAGTCGTGATTTTAAAAATGAGCCAGCTTGCCTAGAGGCCCAGTCGAGTCGAGCCCAATAGTGGGCGAAGCGATAGTCTTGTCTTGGCCAATTTAACATCTCTAGGTAGAGTTCATAAAGTCAAAGTTAACAATGAATTTTAACCACATATAAATATGAGGCCTACAATTTTTCAACACAAATTTCATCAACTTTTATTAAATTATATTGAAAATTTTATTTTAATCTCTACCAAAGGCCATATATAAACATGTGGATAACATTAAAAAAAAAAAA